TGGTGCTGTCTCCTGTGCTCTCAGATCAAAGATGTTGCAGCCCTCTTGTTTCACACCCTGCCTTCAAATATGCTCCAAGTCTCTACCACAGACACCCCATCCCTTTGTTTCACACCTTATGTCAACCCATGTTTTCCCCATAGTGAACTGATACAACTGATAATAACAAAGCAGCCATTTATGACACTGCCCATATAGCGTCTGTGACCTCCCTCCAAGCAATGAATTTGATTTGAAAAGCGGTAAGTAGCTCATGCTAGAGTGGAGTGAAGATAGTAATGCTCTGACTTTAAATGCAAGGAAAGACTTTGCTTGATATAGTTTTTTAATTAATCCACGGTTAATGATGCAACTATTAGTAAGAGCTGAGCTTGTCTTAAGTGGTTAAGGGGCGGGGAGTGTGTGTGTGTGTGTGTGTGTGTGTGTGTGTGTGTGTGTGTGTGTGTGGTGTAGATGCTGATCAAGCCAACTACAGTACAACTCACTTGTCTAATGGTGGTTTTAGCTTCTGCAGTCCAGGGAGTTGTGCTATTGTTCTAAAGTTGTCTTTAATCTCATGAGTATGATAACAAGTGGGTTATGTAGTAGTTGTCATGGTTGCAGTGTCATGATACTGCACTACATGTATTTGTACAATAAGAGCATGGAAATTCTGTCATGCCATGGAGATTTTTTAAAGTGTTGTTATTCTTATGGGGAAATCCATGTAACAAGCATAATGTGAAAATGTATCATTTAGCAGATAATCCTGTACAGTGTCTTTACAGTAAATATTGTTTGTATATTATAACTAGGGTTGGTTATGAACAGGTTCCAAATTTTCAAGAATTGTGGATTTGTTAAGACACGTGCATTTTGGTTTGTAACTGTTACATATTTCAGTCATACTCCACTTCTGTTTACTTCCTGGACCTCGCTAAAGTACAGCATAGCTTCACAAAAAATATAGGATAAAGGCACAGCAACACCCACAGTAAGGATATTTTGTGCAAGAAGTTAGCACCTCTAGCATGGCAAAGCTTTTACTCTACACACTGTGAATCTGAACTAATGCAATGTGTTTGTGTTGCGATCTCCCAGCCACCGTAACGCCCCAGGTACAGCTCATCTTAACATTAAAACATTTATTTAAATGGTTTTGTTTTATAATTGGTTTTGATAATTCTTTATAAGAGTAATATTTATTTTTATTATTGAAGGGAAACAGACACCTTTGTGTCACATTTCACTGATTATTAGCCTAAATGTACCAAGAGAGGCAATTATTATTTTTTTTTTTATTCTTCAAAAAATATTGTAACTGAAATGTGGAATCAGTAAGAACTGTAATCGATAATTGGAATGGGTATTGATAAAATTCAAATGATATGCAACCTAATTAGTGTTTTTACTTGTGTTCTAAGTGGTGACACTTTCTTGCTGGTAGAGATCTGTTGCTAGTGGTGTCTTAGAATGAATGGATCTTCAGACCAACCAGTATTGGCCAAAATGTCTCCAAATCTTGAATGCCACAGTGGGTTTTGACAGCTTAAAGCAACACAGAACACTCTTGTTTTTCTTTTGCACCTGATTGACAATGGCTTCAATCAGACATTTTCTTCTCCAATGACACAAGCTGCATCCGTTGTGAAGCATGTTTGCCCCAATGAGTTTGACTGGGACTACATGCTTTAGGGAGCGTGCGTGCTCAAGGACAATTTGTGCTCCAAGCATTTATTGTAATTCTGTTGACAGTGTTGGATTTCTTTTGGGCAATTTGCCCTAAGAAGTTAAAGAGTCATTTGTGCCCAGAAGACATGGGACTGATTGTCTACACGCCTGGCAACGCAGGCTGTCTGCATTTTACTAAATCAAATTTCCACATAGGAGCTTAGTGGAGAAGCTGTTGTTTCAGTATTACATCCATGCATATATTGACTGCCCAGTCTTTATTTGTTTGTTTGTCCTTCTCAGGCCAGCTGCTACTGCTGCAAAGGTTTTGAGTGATAATAGCTGTAAGAGACCAGGAAGAATCATAAAGGTTCTAGGAGAAGCTCCTCTTGTTGTCTGCGGATTGTTGATGACAATGATCATTATCACCCATTAAGGCTTTGTGCCAAATGATGGCACCTGGGCTGAAAGCAAGGGGATTTTTTTCCCCCTTTGGTACACATCACATAATCATTACTGTTGCTCCTGCTTCTGTTTTCACTGTGAGGCTAAGAAGTCCAGTCATTTGTCAGTGGAGCAGGTGAGTAGAGGGACCGAAAGATACTAGGTAAAAGTTACCGTTGTTAAAGAAAGTTGGTCGTTGCCACCTATGGGGGTTGTAGTCTTGGCTGAGAGTAGCTGCTGTTTGGAACAAGATATTTGTGTAAATTATCTTCATTGCCAATTTTCATTTCAAGCCCACCCCACAAATTATTCCTACAAAATTTTCACAGGCAACATCAGTATGGTTGCAGGCTTAGCTTAGCCAAAAATCTCTCCCATTAGGTTTCTCAAGGTCCAGAATGATGGCACTAGGTGTTGCTTGAAATCTGTATCACAATATTAATGTCAATTAGGGTGTAAATTTCAGGCCATTTTCTTAACAGATAGTCGCCCATGTTAACTGGTTAATCGTTAACAATGTATGAAATACATAATTCCCATAAAACTGGCTTAACTATTGATGTGATCTCTTTTGGCTGTAAAATCTGACTAGATATGGGAGCTTAAAGTATAAATGAAGTAAATGCCAAGTAACTTGAATTACAAATTAAACAACACAAAAAAATGAATTAGCATCTACAGCGGTGCTCTTGGCGGTCTGACACTGCTCCCCAGCCTGTGTTAACTGAGCCTCACACCAGACAGCCACCAGACAACAGCTCAGTAGAAACTTCACACTACAGTGTTCATCAACACAACTGCCACAGTGAGAACACAAAATCACATTGCCACTTGTTTCTTTCTTAGATGGAAAGAAGGTGTTTGTTTTAGTTTGTGCGGCCTCTATGGGTGGTCAGCAAACGATGTGTAACTCCATTAAGCAGTAGGAGTCACCACCTCTCGGTAGGGATGTAAATCACCACTCTCATCACGATACAATCCTATGTTGATTCTGTTCACCAATACTTAAAAATATGCCACAATGCAATTTTTGATTCGATTCAGGGCCCTGCAGATGATAGCGAGTGATATCTGCCCATTTCATAGTTACAGTATATTGTTAAAAATGTATTGAGCTCCTTTGTTCACTTTCAAGTGCTATTTAACTACAAATAAGGACCAATGATGACCTTCCAATTCAAGACTCAACTTTTTTTGAGACCACAAATATTTACATTCACACATACAAAAAAACTGGAAAAAATGTGTGCCTACATTGCAGTGGGAGTTCTGTTTAAAATTCAACAGTCGCACTTAATGTTATGTGTGTCCTTTCGTATTCCAGACTACATACTCATGACTAGTTTCTGACTGGGAGAGTTGACTTGCGTATCTATGTATTTTCTTGGCTGCTACAGGTCAAGGCCAATTCTCATATGAAGCGTTTTGTCACTTGCCCTTCTCATGCAACAGATAAAACTCTTATCTTTCAAATGTGTCCGTCCACACCGACTCAGGTGTGTGTGTGTGTGCGTGTGGACGTGTTTTCCCTGCTACGTGGGGACTTCTTCCTGACTCCATACCAACTCACGAGGACCCATTTCACGGTGGGGACCTAAATTGAGGTCCCCATGGGCAAGAAATTGAATTTTAGGGTGGCAACATGGTTTAGGGTTAGGATGAGGTTAGGGTTAGGTTAAGGTTAGGGTCAGGGTTAGGGTTAGGCAAGTAGTGGTTCTGGTTAAGGTTAGGGTTAGTCTACAGGAAATGCATGTAAGTCAATGTAGTCCCCATGGACTACAAAACACACTGTGTGTGTGTGTGTGTGTGTGTGTGTGTGTGTGTGTGTGTGAGAGAGAGATGTGTCACCCCCGGAATCCCCAATTTTCTACGCTTAAAATTCTCTCTGGTGCATTTAACAAACCGCAATCCCCACCGACCATTTGTCCGGCCACTGTCTTGCTGATAGAGGAACAGCTATTCTGATGACAGTGATGAGGCATGGAAGTTTGAGTCAGTGTGGACTGAATGGATCAACTGCTTCAGTAGCTTATGCGCTGCTTACGTCTCACTTTTAGTGTGAATTCCTAGTTTCAGAATGCTAGCTGCACTACCTGCCACTTGTTGTCCAGTTTGAAAAGAACAGTGCTTCACCGGAAATGCATACGTATATGGCGGACTTTCAAAATAAAAACACATAAAACATCGATGTTTACATTTTGCATCAATGTCATCAGAGTGTGGGGTGTTTGATGGATCGTTACCTGTTGGTCTAACCAGGTTCTACAGCACTTACTTTGTTTAGTCACTTAAAGTATTAACAGCAGTTAGTCAATCGATTAATCATTGACATCCCTAGTATCTATACTGTACGTCATGACAAAGCACAAAGTACACATGATACGGGCAAATGTTCATTGCAGTGATCTTTGTTCCACCGTTTGGCATTGTATCAAACAAAATCTTCATGTAAAACAAGACCTTAAGGAACAAATGTCTTTTCTTCAGTTTTGTAGACTGAAAATATTATGTTCACATCATCATGACATGGGTTTGCTGAAAGATTCCATTGAATTATCATCAAACCCTGGGAGATGGGCCAAGTCTGCTGAATGCATTACTCAGCAATCCATCACCCTGACCCTATACTCTGACACATTTCCTTCTTCATTAGCACAAATATTTTCATCAGATGTAAATCTTGTCCTCTTAAAGACGATCTGAATTTCTATAATGGACTTTGTATTCATTAGACAAAAATTGAAGAGTATATTTTGTTACTGTGACACATAAAAATTGTTTTTGCCATCTTTTGACATCAGCCATATGCACTTAGTTTGAATAAGCTGTCATTGTATTTGTTTAAGATGTAAATGAAATTTTTCTTCCCCTGTGGATTTTCTGACCTCTATCTCTGCCTCCTACAGTTGCATCGGGTGGCCACCTTCACCGTGCTGGAGAAGGGCATCATGGGAACATAGGAATAATGAGGGCAAGGAGGGCAGCCGGTGACCCCTACTGGTCCTATTCAGGTGAGCTCTCATTTGTGTGCTGACCGGAGCCCTCAGTAGGAGGGGAAATGCATTTCTTTGACTTGCTCACCTCTATTCTACCTTGCTGATAATTTTCTTATTTTTATCTGCCATTTTGCCAGTAACCCCTATTCCCTTTTCTCTGTTGTAGCCAGATGGGTTGAATTAGGCATTTAGTTTTCATATAATAGTATACCTGGACTGTGTGTTTTCATTGCTCTAAATAACTGTAATTATACTAATGCACTGGAGTGATAAAAGCACTGACATACACCAAAGTGAGTTGCTGTTCAGATTATGTTTTAGCCAACTGTGATTAACCACAAAAAACAAGTCGACTTAGTCAAATTAATTTATTGTTGCGTTTGTATCAGGCATGTAAATTGTGCACATTGAAATGAGTAAGGATGAATTCAGGTGTATGTAATTTAATGACACAGTACACTGTGAAAGCTGATGGTTAGAGACCTCTAACCCATGGAATAAGGGAAGCTGCTTTAGACTGTGGTTTAGTGGTGCGGTTGACAGGTCTCTTCAGCAGACAGACTTTCATTTGTTTTGAAGTGTACAGTTTTTCAGTGTAGTCGGCTTAGCTGTATGTGTGAACGTTTAATTGCCCCCACCCCCCCACCCCATTACTGCTAATATGTATGCTTTTAATGCCAAAGTAAGAGCTTCTGGGAATCTAGGCCTGCCTCCTCCTCTAATTTCTCAGCCGTCAACCTTAACAAAATGAGAAGATGAACAGATATGGCAGCCCACAGTCAGATGTATGCTCTAAGGATGACTCATTATGTGCACCTTTATGCTTGTAAATATTCTCAGAGCAGTGTGTTTGTATATTTGAGTGATGAAGTTTCCAAGTCTTTGAGAGAAAACTAATTGAGCAAAACAGATATAATATTTATTATTGCATGTCCAAAGTAGATTTTTTTTTTTAACAGACTGTCAAAGATGTATATTTTGTTTGTGTAGTATATACAGCAATTAACATTTAACTCTGCACTATCAGAGGTTATCAGACAACCAGCATGTTGGTATTAGAAATTTACTTCCTTTTGAGAGTTTTGCCAGTTTTCTCAATACTCAAAACAACTGTTCACAGATTTCTTGTCGCCAATGTTTCTCAACATGTTCAGCCAGGTGTATGCAGCACAGGAGAGGAGGTTTTGGCAGGGAAAAGTTCAGATAAGCTAAGATATTTTTATTTCAGAGCACAGCTTCACATGCATCTGTACACATTCACACCCTAGTGCAAACACAGCCCTCTATTGGTCATTCAGCAGCTCCAGTGGGACATCAGGGTTATGTGCTTTGATCGAGGGCACCCCACTAGAAAAGCTCAGGAAGGGAGGAGCAGTAAGTAAAATTATATTTACAGGTTCCAAGGTCTGACAACACTACATAGCAAATAACTAGCTTGGTTCCTCTGCTGTCATAGCGCATTGCAGCTTGGAAAATTATTTTACTGATGGAATATTTTGTCTTTGGCACCACTGTTGTGAGCCCAGAATCCCATGGTTTTAGACGAGAAAATTGTGCAAACAGTGAAAAATGAACTGTGCTTACTTTAGACTCCAGTTTGTTTGGTATTCGTGTCACTCCTCATGGTGGTCTTCGTCTCCCCCAGTTGTCTAGCAGAGGCAGTGAACGTGGGTCTGCTTTGACTATCCAAGCATGAGTTCCTTTTCACCATCTGCAAGGTGTGTGGAACTCATTAAGGGGCTCCTAGTCATTTTAAACGGAAACCTTCAAGATACTGTCACCTTTATTCACCTAAATTTCTTATTGATTTTCGTAAAATATAACTGCTGTACACATGATCAGACTGCAACTTCAAAATTACCCTGTACCAGCCAGGATTTTATTTTTTTTTTTTAATGTAGAATGGCAGTAAGCCAAGTAGGCATGAAGACTTAGAACATTGTTATACATCTATGAGTGCATAAAGTCACTCATAGCAGCCAAGTTGATAAAAGCTGATGCGCCTCCTCTCTTGATCAGTTTAGTTTCTAAACTTGATATGAACATATCTACTGCATTCTTTGTCAACTAAGCCCAAGTCCAGGCTCCAGCAGGACCCGATTGCATCTTGTTCATTTTCTAAATGAGATGTCAGGCTCCAGTTGGATTTGGCACATTTACTTAGCTGTCTGAAAATTTAGAACCATAAGTTCATAAGCTTATTGTTTTTCTTTGTTACTTGACAAACTGTCATGTATGGCTTTATAAACAGTATGAGCTGCAGGCTGTTTTAATACTTTGTATTTTGTAATGTTCTGGGAAAGTTCAGCTTTGTTTTTGTGTACAGAGTGGTACTCTTGCTTAGCCAGAGGCAGACTGGTTATTATGGGAAGATTGGATCTCAATGTTTAAAATTTTTTTATTTTTTTTATTTTTATATAAAGGCAGGGTTGATTAAAAATGAAACAACATCCTGTTTGGAACTGGCTGACATGAGTGGATTTTGGACATTCGATGCAGGCCTGTGCAGAGCGCTAATTCCTACCAGTGACGGCAGCTGGCTGATTGTACTAAGAAAAAGGGCAGCATTGAGGAACACAGAAATGTCCATTGCTTTGGAAAGGTAATTAGTGGCTAAGGCTGTGAATGGGGAACAGACAAGCGTGCCTTAGCAGCTAAATGGTTATTAAGGGCATTTGCTCTGTGCAAGTGAGTGTAAAAAAAAAAAAAAAAAAAATTTGCACACACAGTAGGGTTTGCCTGAAGCTGGAGGGTACTGGTGCAAGACAGACTTGTAGTTCTATGAGCTATATACATAACATATACTGTAGAGACGAGCGCATTATCCATTGTTTCACACAGACTTTCCACACCCACTACTCTGGGAGGGTGCTGTGTAGATGTGGAACAATATCCGCCTCAGAAACTGGAGCAATAGCAAATGAAATTGAGTAACATTGTAGAAAGTTTCTTAAGAACGTAATATTGCCCACATCAGGTTTTTCACTTGAAAAAGAGTAAAGGTACAGTGCATGTTGGAATAATGATCAGAAAATAAATATTGTACTTTTTCCTAAGTTTCTATATGTGATAAACAACAGTGGTTTGAGTTTTTATATTATGTAATACTAATGTTATCACTGTCAAAATAGATTCTGTATTTTTCATGATAAAGATAGCTAAGCCTTTGTATGTCACACATTAGTCCCATGCATTGAGGAAAGAGGCACACAGTGCAATCAGAGGTCTTATCACTCCATGTCATGTCACCTTTCTGTGTGCGTTGGTTATGAGCCTCGAAACCCACACCCTGAAATTTGATTAAAAGGTAAGGTGTGCGCGCGTGTGTGCACTCGTGCATGTGTGTGTGAAGGCATTTTTCATAAGAGGAATGATATCATACTCACCATAAGGCTCCCACAGGAACAGGGCTATGCATCATTTTCCCCCTTTTTATATCTCTGCAGGTTTTCACATCTTCTCTATTAGTTTCTCTGGCTTTCCTTTAGTGGTACAGTAGTTGTATGTTTTAGAGCAATATAGGCAGTAGTTTGCTTTTGATTGCACTCTTGTTGATTTATTGTTCTAGTTTAATTACAGCACAACAGTTGGAGTACCTTAATGTGCATTTGCAAAAGTATTATGCTTTATCCCCTGTAACAGTGAGTAAAATGAAAAAAACAAAAAGGAAAAAAAAAGAAAAATAACAGAATTAGATGTAGAGAAATATAGATTAACACCCTGAAGATAACCGTTGATTTTCATTTTCACTGCATGATGAGATTTTGTCAAGTCCCTGGATGAACTCGCATGTCATTCCAGACTGCTATGAAGCTGTTTAATGAGAAGATGCATGTTCACGCTGTGCTCACTGTCACAACTTATGATTTTAGTTATAAAAATAAAAAATAACTGTGCATATTTGGGAAAATTAAAGATGCAGTAAGGTGCACATGCTACTGCAGCCCAATCCTTCAAATATGGTCCCTCTAAAAATGAATAATGTATGTATTAAAGTTCTGCATCTCAGTGATTTTCACGTTTATAATTTAGCACAGTGCTTCATATGGGTAAAGCACCTATTGTCTGTTTCATACATCAGTGGTGAAGTTTGGATGGAAGCCACCCAGACAAGCTGATGTAGCCACTGAAAGAGCCTGCGATTGTCTGATATGTGTGGATTATATTTCCCCTCAGCTTGACTCTTTTATTCCACTTCACTGAGGTTGCCTGTGATCATTAGCAATCTTTCCACTCATGTCTCACATAATGAAGTGTCATTTTCAATCAATTGCTATGTTGATCCAACTTAATTAGTACTTTAGAGGATACAAAACAAGATTAGGTAACTCACTGTTCTTGATTGCCAGGGCTGTTTGTTTTGGCTTTGAATTAACCCTCAATTCTATTGCTGCATACCCTATTTTTAGCTTCTGATTTTATTTCTTCACCACTTCAGATTTGTCACATTTTTCTCTTAAATCGCTGGTTAAAAATGTAGCTTCAGGCAGTGATCAAGTATCCCCAGCTTTTAAGATAAACTTGTCAATCTTGAATTATTCTGTAGGGCTAAAACGATCCAGTTAATAAAAATCTTTTTAAGAACACACCGTTATTTGAACAAATGCATAGAATTTTCAAGCAGGGTTTCTGGCTTGATTTTTAAAATGCGACTACGCCTCTCAGATTGGTTAGGTTTGACAGGTTAAACCCTGTGATTCATATAACCTTAAATTGGCTGGGTGCTTGTGATGGCAGTGCACTTTGTCTCTTGTGACTTGACACCCCCCCTACAAAGACTGGAGGGAAAAGAGCAAGGCTGTGTTGTCATGGAGCCCAACAGGAACTCTGCCTCCTGGAGGAAACTAATGGAAAGGATTGCTCCCTGTAGACCTACATGTATGAGAAGCACTTAACTTTAATGCAAAGCTTGCAGACTACACAACTGCACATGTAATAATGGAGGTTAAAGTATGGGACGTTACATACAGGCATCCAGGGACACACTCCTCAGGGGGGACAAGAAAAGCACTTTT